GAAGTGGATGGGGGGTTGAGTGGGGAGAAGGAGGGGGAAGTGGGAGGAAGGGAGGAAGAGAAAAAGAAAGCCTGTCTTGTGTTCCTGTGGAGGTCAGAGGACAATTCACAGGAGAGAGTTTTCTTCTACCAGTTCTGGCAATTTGAACCCAGCTCTTCAGGTTTGGCAGGAACGAATTTTACCTGCTGCTGAGACATCTTGATGGCACACTAAGAGGATTATTAATCTATGTAAAGGATGTTTTCAAATGTAAAATTAATATTTTTAAGAATTTTTAATGGAATACAGGTGTGCTGCAATATATTCATAGTATTCAGAAAACAACCACAGTGGTTGGCCCTCACCTTCTACCTCATTTGATGCGAGCTGCCCCTCAAAACTTCTCTGGTCTCAGCCTCCATCTGAAGTAGAAGCAGTGGTATTACAGGTATAGACAGTCTCCCCCAGTTTTGCACATGTTTGGGGATCCAAACCCTGATTTATCCTCACACTAACATGGCAGGCTTTCTATCTACTGAACCATCTTCTCCAGCTGTTAATTTTTTAAATGTACAAAAATTTTAATTCAGTGCTTTTACATTTTCTTCAAGTATTGCATGAAAGCTGATCTACACTGTTTAGATTTCTTATGCAATTTTGGGAAAATGGAAAGTGGGAAAGAAGCCAGCGTTCACATCCAGCTGGAAGGTCGGCCATCCGTCTTGGAAATGGTGAGTCTAAAATCAGATGGATAACTTTGTGATGTAGGTCTATAAACTTGGTCATTTTACATAGACAGGATAGTATGGAAATATTCTACAAATAGATAGCAGAATAAGTTTGGAAATAAAGCTCAAATCTCATCTTCATTACATTAACTGGCAGAGATAAACTGTGGAGTCATTAGGTTTGGTTTAGAAAGCATGCCACTCTCTACAAACCCCAAGTAAACAGAGGAACTTGACTCCCTTTCAGTTCACATAACCTTAAATCATCCTTTAAAATATAATGTTTAAAAACTAAAGCCAAGAAAATTAAAATTTGATTTCAAAGAAAAGCAGACTAATATATTAAAACATATCAAATAAACCTGGGTGTGGTAGTTCATGCAATCCCAGCACTCCAAAGGTGGAGGCAGGAGGATCACAAATTTGAGATTATCATCAACTACATAATGAGATCAAGGTCCTTTTATACCACAAGAGACTCAGTCTCAAAAAAGAAAAAAATCAGCTATATCAAAATTCAGTAACAAGAAATACATTTTGAAAATTACAAACTTAAAGAATTCAAGTTCAAAAGGGATTAAATGAATTTTGGACTCTTTAATGTAAAAGAGCATATGTTTTATGAAGAGCTCTCAATGACAAGAGAAAATCTGAAGTATTTTTTTCAGTTTCCCCATCTGGCCAATATGAATAGTGTCAGTGGCCAGTGTACATAAGGCCAATTAATGGAGTACTTGAGAAGAATATTGTTCCCATATTTTTAGTCATCTCTGCCCATGATAGCCAACAGAAATCGAGCTATTACACATTCAGTAGCATTTTCTGAAATTATGACACAGTGGTCAAAGGAATATTCACTAGACAGTGAAAGGAGAGATGCTCATTCATCTTAGCTTTAAAGTCATGTGACCAGCAGCAAGTCATTCAGCCTTGATAGCTGCCTCCTATGTGCCCCAAGTTTCTCAACAGGGGCACTACTGACATGATGGACAGAAAATCCTTTGTTGTCAGTCTACCATACACACTGCAGAGCATTTAAGAGTGCCCTACACACCAGGCAGTTCCTGCCTCTGCTCACAACCTTGCAGTCAATTGTGTCCCTAGACACTGTATACTATCCCTAGAAGGTCAGTTCTCCTATTGAAAGAATGCTGTTGGTCTTGGTGAAGTTTGCTACTTCTAGTTCTAAAGATGTCAAATAACCTTTACCTAGTAGATTTTAGCATTTTTGGGCAATAGACCTCCTAAAGAATCTAGAGACTAGAACCAAGGTATAGCTTAAATGGGAAAATGCTTGCCTAACATACACAAAGCCCTGGGTGTGTGGTAATTCCAGCATTTAAGAACAGTAAGATTAGAAATTCAAGGTCATTCTCAGCTAACATGGTGAGCTGGAAGGCAACCTGGGCTACATGGGATCCTGTTTCCACAAAAAGAAAAGAAACTTGCTAAAATTACTCAATGGTTAAAACCCTTCCATCAAGCATGATGACCTGAGTTTGATGGCCAAGAAAACATTATAGGAAAACCACCTTCAACAAGCTGTCTTCTACCACCATATGTGCATAAATGCACATAAATGGCATTAATTATTTTTAAAATCATATCTAAATACAATATTCTTACTCACCCCTATAAATGTACAAATGCATCTATTTTTAAAATATTAATGGAATATGTATAGCCCATTCACAGATTCCAGGCTTTATAGATTCTTTCACAAACTCCCTACTAGAAATACTTAATTCAGAATTCACCCACAGATGATCATACACTTGGATTTCATTATTATTAGAGCAAGATGTTGTCACTGAGAAACTAAGTAGGATACACATATTTTACTCATAGCAAGTAAAAGGCAAACCTGAGGGAATGTTCACCAGGTCAAGAAGGCCTGTTTGTGGGTAAAATTTAATATTATTGAGAAAATTATATTGTTCACTAACAACATTGCATACTATAATCTGGCAAAATTTTAAAAATCAAGTGATTTGCATCATAGCCACATTTAATTAAAGGGGGTGCCATGAAATAGATTGTCATACTTCTGAGCCCAAAGGGAGTCATTATATATAAGTTCAGTAAGTTATAGACATTCTAGATAGCAAAGGTGGCATTTATAGTGACATGCCTTCAGGAAATAAACCACAAACAAAACTCTGTTGATTACTTCTTTTCAAAACAGGATGAGACTTCATCGCTCAAGTTTGAAATAAGAGCAACAGCTTTTCCAGAGCCGCATCCAAAAATTATTGAGCTAAACAAGGATGAGAATGTTGTCCATGTAAGATTGCCTTCTTATGTGCTGCATGAAAACTGTACGGGAAATAGTGGGAGGGTATTTATAACCAGTGCCTTTTGGAGATCCAAACCAGGAGTCAGTGTGTGACCAGGTCATAGAGGACTTTCAACCCTTTTCCCATCTTCCATAACTGATGGGAAGTACACAGAGAGCGGTTTGGTAGCTGTGAGAATGGGGAGGATGGCAGGAAGAGCCACGTTTCCACTCAGTGCTTCCGAGGGGTGAGAGTAGGATCAGGACATGGTGGGGAGTTCTAACCTTTGTAAGCGCCTGGGAGGCTTTTAAAGGAAACATCAGCAGTGCTGTTTCTGAGTGTGTGTTTGCTCTACTTGTGCAGGTCGTCTTGGAAGGGCACCATCATCAAAGACCCAAGCAGCATTTCACCATTGTGATTATAACCAGCAGTTTGCTACTTGGACTTATTGTACTTTTATTAATTTCATGTGTTATGTGGAAGGTAATCCTTAACAGTCACTAATTTCTTGTGTTTTATAGACAGTCCACCTTTAATAATTACTAATAATTAAACTACTCAGAATGCCTTTAATATCTCAAAGCCAAATAGGTTCAGTATTTACTCTTACTGTTTTAGTCACTAGATGAATGTTTAATACTGATCTTGGATTTATTCTAATTTCAAGAATCCTTTTGGAAAAATACATGTAATGTTGAATATCAGTGTGTGGTGGAGTGTGTATATATCACTCACAAGTCCAGTGTTAACCTTCCATGCCCCACACTGATTATCACCTTTACGACTGTCTTCAGGGCTAGTGTAACCTGGGGAAAAATTTAAAAGTATTCTACACTTATTAGATATTTGATATTAATATTCTGGGTTCAGAACTGAACACTCTTGTTATCTAATCTGTTTTCAGGCCGGATTCTTTAAAAGACAATACAAGTCTATTCTACAAGAAGAAAACAGGAGAGACAGCTGGAGTTATGTCAACAGCAAAAGCAGCGATGACTAACGACTTTTCAATTGAGAGAACTAAACAAAGACTCAGGTAGGTTAGAAAAAGATCCTGTTCATAAGACCCCTGATAATTTCTCTTTGTCCATGTACTTGTGATCTTGTAACTTACAATGTCTTACCTCAGGGAAAATCTTCAAGAAAGAGAATACAAAATGGATGAGTACAGAAAAACACTAAAGCTATTGACTTACTTCGGAAGACTTCCGAAGACAACTTGAAAGAAACTCCAAATTTAGCCAGACGGACATAAAAGGGACAGTCTTCCAAGGAGATACTGACTGTATGTGCTTATGTTAGTGGGACAAATGACACAGAATGGACACTTGTTAGTTTCAAATACACTTTTGAGACATTTTCAAAAAAATATGATGATGATCTTTGAAGCCATTTTGACACTTTCAAATGGATAAGTCATTTTAAGCAGTGGATTTGAAGATTGATGTTGGTGGCACATCATCACTGGGCTGTGTCCCTATGGTCCTTTATCTGGCAGATGTGAATTTTAAATGTCTGGTGAACAGTATCAATGCAGAGCAGAATAGCTTCTGGAGAAGTGTGGCTTCTGGATAAGCGGCCAGCTGTGGACTCTTCCTTGTATGTACATATGCTTTTCTAAAAGACACACTTACCTATCTACTTCTTGCTTTTATCAAGAGCACCTGGAAATTTTTTTCAAACTTTTATTCATAAAACCTATTCTAAAGAATTTTATCCTCATAGCAGATTTTAAATATTCCACTTTAGCTGATTCATGATGTTATAATATGAACTGTAGCTCACTGGTGATTTAAAACTCCAAAGAAAGATTAGGGAGCCAATATTTCATAAAATATTCACTGTTTCAAATTAAGCAAACATGAATATCTGCTAGGATATTGTTGGTTTTCTTATTCTGGTTAAATATATATTACCCAGGACTATATAAAAGTATTGTTTTATATATGGATAAGCACATTCATAGACTGAACTGCAATGACATAATGTGACATCAAAATTCCATGACACATGTATATTTGATGTTACACAAGGTTTTATTTTAAAGTGAATTATTTTTTACTTGGGTTTTACAAAATCATTTTTGTACTATTTATTTCATACATGTGGTTTGATAAGTGCAAATTTTTATCTGGATCTATTATGTGTAAGAAAGCTATGGCCAGATTTTGAACATGTGTTGGCTAAAAGGGGCAGCCTTCAGTGTTTAAAAAGAAAGATTGCTTTACAGGAGATTCTTGCTGTCAGCTGGTCCTTCCTCAGATTTCCTGATTCATGACAGTTGCCCCCTCACAAGCCCATGGTCTGTGGCTAGAGAACAAGAGTGTGCTGGGTTTTGGGAGGGGTGTGAGCAATGAAACTTGAGTATACAAATCAACTCTGTGTGCACACATACAAAAATATATATATTTAAATAAATGTTTGTATTTTTAAAGGATTTCTATTGTATAAAGGGATATGTATTTATGGTTTCTATAGAAATTCAAGTGGTTATCTCATCAAGGTGTCAGTATTAATACACAAAAATCAGTATCAGTTTTGACCTATCTTTTTAAGGGGTGGAATCTGAGGAAATTTAAATTTGGATCATTACACTGAAAACTTAGTGCTGTGACTGCCCAGTCCTTGCCTTTCAGATACAAAGGAACACAGCTACCTCCTGGGCCACATTTTTGCCCAGTTAAAAAGATATTTTATGTATATTTTTAAATAAAGCTTAATGTAAACTTAGAAGTTCACCTGTATAATAAGCTTAAAGATCTTGTTACTTCAAAGATGTCATTATGGGGTTGATCTGGGGGACAATAGCTTAAGTGAATTTTTTTTAATTAAGTGATCGTTCATGGTTATATTGCCTGCTCCTTATGGAGTTTGAAATTTTATAAAATTTACATTTTATCTAGCTATAGGAAATTGCAAGAGAATAAGAAGAATTATCTTCAACAATATTCATATAGCACAACATTGTTTATATTAGATCTAACAAATGCTTTCCAAAACTCAGAACTTGATTATTCATTGATTTTATATCTTTATCATCTTGATTTTCAAATACCTAGATACTATTTTAATTACATTAAAATAGATGTTTTAAATAGACATTTTCATTCAAAAATGTATTTTCTATTTGTGTATATGTTGCATACCAGATTCCTTCACAATAAATTTCTACTTTACATATTTCTTTTATATGCAATTACAAGCTACTTTGGAGTCATTCATTCCTTCCAGGCTTTCTCCATAAAGCCTGATCAGTCTTGGGTGCAGTCTGTAAAGAACAATATAGATTGATTATTTCATTTACCTGCTATTGTTATTTTTCACACACCTCATTAGTGTCGTACATAAAGCACAGATTGACAACCAACAAGCATATATTCATAACAGGATAACAAGCCAGCTAGCTGAAGGACCAAAACTCCAACATCTGTGACCATTCCAGAACCATCTTGACCACCTTTCCTGCCTGACTAGTGTTTCCCAATACCTCTGTGAAGAGCCAGTTGTTTGAGAACACCCCATCTGGGGGTGCCCCCACACGCTTCAGCCTGCTAAAAGTCCTAAGGCTTGCTAGGAATGAGTTTTGGATCCCTACAACTGTTCATACCCATCTCTCACTCTTGTAAACATGTACAGTGTGATAAATGCTTTGTAGAGCTTGATAAAAGTCCCTATTACTTTATATACTGACTTGAATAAAAACAGGACTTGTTTAAAAAAGCAGTGCCTAGCACAGTATTATGGTATTACAGCCTGATTTTTGGGTGGGGACTGTGGTACTATATTATTTCCCAAAGACTTAAGTCTAAACTCTAAGAGCAACAAGGTAAATTATAAATACATTATCTGTATAGCTTATGCAAAATAATGATTTGCAATGCCAGCACAAATACTCATATTTGTATTTGCTGATAGGTGTGCATGTCTTCCTACAGTTTGCTAACTTACTGGTTTTTAATCTTCTCTTTGGAAAGCTAAGAGAAAGAATCCCTATACTCTATTATTAATGTTATGTCTGCTGTTCTACACAGAGAATGGTGAAATAGTTGGTCTTACCTAATGTGGACCTCAGATGCAGCTTTAATTAAGTCTCCATCTACATTCCAAGGAAAACCATTTTCTGGAACAGTTGCATGGTTTTGACCCTCCTCCTGCTGGTTGTATTCGCTGCTATTATTTTTTGGATGAATTTTTACTTCTTCAACGGTATAAGTCTCCACAAAGGGAAAATTGAACTAAACAGAACAAATGCACGTAATAGTGATGCTTCCTTGTGCCCCCTATTACAAATAAGTGTCACCATACTGACATTTTTATCATTTTCAAGCTCTGACCAGATAGCCCCAGGTTTTCTGAAAAAACCTGGAAGTTTTCCAGGCTTGATAAGCTCTACTGTATGACGGACAGTTCATATTTGTGAAGAATTTCCAACAATAATGATGCTGCAATTTCGAGTTAACAAGAGAAGAGCAAGAGGGTGCAGTTGAAAGGAACCTGGAGGGTAGTTTCTTTCCCTTTCTGTTTTCCTGAGTTGGGAGTTACTGTAAAGATTGTGAGGTGATGGCCAATCTGCTCTGCAGCTGTTCACAAATATTAGAATTCCAGCCATGAAAATGTGGTTCAGAAAATGAAATACTAAAACAATTTGGAATTTGTTTCCTTCCACACATACGAGCACTGCTGGTGACTCATCACATAACAGAGAATCCTACTGTAACTAGCATATATGTAGTCTTTCTTACATAGTGAATTTTTTTAAATGTAATGTGTACTATTCAGATTTCCACATTTGTTTATCATTTACAAAATAATTGTGTAAATTAAATATGACTATAAATGTAATTCTTTACTGTAGTGTAAAATTGATCTGGGGGATTGGAGGGATGGCTCAGCTGTTAAGAGTGTTTGCTGCCCTTCCAGAGGCCCCAAGTTTGGTTCCCAGTACAAATGTCAGAGAGTGTCAGAGAGTCAACCACTTGCGACTCCAGCTCATGAAAATCCAACTCCTTCTTGTGGCTTCCACAGGCAGACACAGACTGACTCTCTCTCTCTCTCTCTCTCTCTCTCTCTCTCTCTCTCTCTCTCTCTCTCTCTCTCTCTCTGTGTGTGTGTGTGTGTGTGTGTGTGTGTGTGTGTCTGTCTGTCTCCCTTCCTCCCTTCCTCCCTCCTTCCCATTCCTGCTATCCTTCCCAAGTGGCTAGAGTGTGTGATCAATAATCAGCCTCTGATGGTTATCTGGATTTACTGCCCTCCTCCTCCCATTTATCTTCTCCTAACTATATCCAAGTACCATTTATACCCTTAAGAATGTATCAGACTACCAGGTTTTACAGTCACACCTGTGTACTTCAAGACTAACAGCTGGGACATAGTGTGAGCCCAAGAATATAGCTCATCATAGGTACTATTTCTCTTTACGTCTAACCACTTAAGTGGAAATTTCTCCACATGCATTTTGAATAACGTCTATAAAATGAGTAAGCACATGTTTGCAAATCTATTGTTATACACTAATATGAGGCAGGTTGTAAAAAATGTCAGGAAAATCTAAGCCATTATATGTTTAGAATCTGCTGTTGTAAAACCAAAAAGACAAAACTCTCAGATTTCACTACTTTTCACTCTAAAGAACAGCTTGTGCATGTGTAATTGTGCCCCTAACTTCCTTCACTTCTCAATGTAATACTAGAAATTTGGGTTTTCTTTGCACAAAGGAAAAAAGTATAACCCATATGTCAAAAGAAGCAAATGTATGTTAATGCTGGCACACACATGTTAAATTCTGAATGAAAGGCTGGGGGAAAAAGATTAATGTAAGCAGAAGATAAAGGTTTTTCATGAGGCAAGACTTGATGCCAATCTCTGAAACATTTTTCTCTTCATGATTAGTAGCCTTGCAAAGAAGTGACAAAAAGAAATGACTGTACCTGATTCTTTATGCTGGAGTATCTTTTCAGGTGCTTTACAAATTCTTTTCGAGTGGTGTTCCGTACAACTATGAGAGCCATGCTTCCATTATTCAATCTGAAATGAACCATCTGCATGTAAGACTCAAGAAGTTTATCAACAAACTGTGTCTGAAACCACCCCCTAATTTGTCTAAACAGATATAATGCTCACTAGAGGATACAGACCAATATCGAAAATCACCATGTCAACTGATCTAAAATTTTTTATGTATTTATTTTTTAAATGTTTTTATTTAAATTAGAAACATACATGCTTCAAATGTCAATCCCAGTCCCCCCCTTGTCCCTTCAACAGCCCCCCCCAGAATTTTTAAACCAAGGTTTGCTGTGCTCTTGCTGAAGTGAGAGAGCATTTTGAATTAGTTTTATTTACTCCTATGGTTTCTTCTCAGCACAACCTGACTTCAGGGCTCTTGAAAAATCAAACCTTCACACACCTTAATCACATCAAGGAGTAATGTTAAATACACCACAATTACTTAAGGATTCTAAACTTGAAGCTATGTGGTATATTGTACATTTGGTATATTGTGGCATGATGTACATTTGTAAATTGTCTGAGATAACCCACAGCTAGATGTTTTCTAAAATCCAAACTGTGGTTAAAATGTTTACTTATGGACAGAAGGTCTATGTGACATAGAAAACAAAATAAATCAAAATACCCTGAGTAAAGGAGATGGAGTGAACAACAGCTACCACATATGTTCAGCTAAACAACAGAGCATTTTAATCATATATGACACTTTGATCCAAAACGAGAGACTAGAAATCTAAAGGTATGATCTAATGCCAACATAGCCCTTTACAAATGCATTAGCTTTAGAAGGCATTTTGCAGAAATACATGCAAATATTTTATGCTTGTATGTTTCAGAACAAGCACAAAGTTTTCCCAAGAATAACAATGACATTCAAATCTATAGGGGCTCAGTCATTGTTTAGTCATCTATATTAGAATGGACCACTCACAATGGAAGGTATGCAGTGGAAACCAAAAGAATTACATTTTCAGAGATCTACAAGGATGACACCAACTGGCAAACTAAGCAATAGTGGAAAAACTACCTTAAATGTTCCTCCTGATAAGTTCGACTACTTCCTTATATGCCATCTTAGAACCTTAAATCAATGACTGATGGAAGCAGAGGTAGACAGCCACAGCTAAACACTGAACTGAACTCCTGGAACCCAGGGATAGAGAGGGAGGAGTGATGAGCAAAGGGGTCAAGACTGGGCTTGTTTAACCCACAGAAACAGCTGACCTGAACAAGGGAGAGTTCTTGGACCCCAGACTGATGACTGGGAGGCATGCATGGAACTGATCCAGATTGAGTGAGGGCTGAGAGGGTTAGTGGGGGCGGTCGGAGGAGGCAGGGAGATGGATTGACAAGTGAAGCAGCCTTGTTTCTAATTCACATTTTAAAAATCTTTTAAAAAAAAGAGTTACTAATAGCAAAGCTTTTATCTGCTGGGATATATAGGGTCCAATACTCCTACTATCAACCATGCTGTCTCTTCCTTCTGAAATCAAACAGCACCAAAATGTTCAGGGCATCTTCTTTAAGTATCATTTTTATTAGTTGTGTAATTTTATAAATACTATCCCTTCTCATTTGTTCTACATCTTTGCATTTGGAAAAGAACTACTTTTAGATTTAAAATGGACATTTGCCTAAAAGAATGTGGAAAAAATATCACCTGCAGTACTGTGAGGATATAAAATGATTCACTGCTTAGTTCACTAAAATATAACCAAGAGATTCCTATGCACCATAGTTCACACTAAATGAACCAAAATGTCTCTGATTGAAAGCATCAAGCTAACCCAGATCCCCTGCATGCTCATAACTGCTGACCCATCTTTCCATTTCTCACATTAAGGATATGCTTGTATTAAAATCAGGGAGCAGAGACATTCACGGGAAACATTAGTATACTATTCTCAACAACTAGCGGAGTGGAAGCAAACCAAGGGGGCACAACACAAAGTTATGTCAGTGAGACCCAAGAAACACCTTAGTCAGAGGGTTAGTAAAATGCCAGTGATTATGTGGTAGTTTTTTTTTACAGTTCAATAATTGTTCACAATCTATCATGTGAACAAATCCTTTAGGAAGACTTAATATTGTTCAAAGATAAACTACCTTTTACCCATAATTCTCATTCTTTCAAAAAATTAATACTTTATCAATTCTTTGAGTTCACATAATATATTTTGACAATATTAGCCCCCACCTGTTTCTTCAATTTTTTCCAGATCCACTCCTTACAATCTCACCCATTCCCAACTTCATGTCATCTTTCATCTCCCAATAATACCCCGAGTCTAATTTGTATTGCTCAGCTCATGAATATGTGGCCATCCAATGAAGCATGATCAACCTACCAGTAGCCACATCCGTAAAGAAAACTGACTCTGCCTCTCTTCAGAAGTTATCTACAGTTAATAGCTCATCGGCTAGGAATTGGGGTCCACATCCATGCACCATGCTAGAATTCTGACTGGCTAGATCTTACACAGATCTTGATCAAGCAGCTACAACTACTGCATCAGTATTGTCATGTCCAGAAGCTACTGTTTCACTACGGTCACCCCCCAGACCTCTGGCTCTTACAGTCTTTCCATCCCTCTTCCATAATGGTCCTTGAGTTTTGATGGGAGCCAGAAAGATGGGACAGATGTCCCATTGGTAGCTGAGCACTCCATTCACTGACATTTATTTTCTGTACTTTTATCAGAGAAGACATGCTTAACATGTTTCTAGCTTGCTAATAGTTGAAGTATTACCAAAGAGAAAATTATTTATAAAACGTAAGCATTAACAGCCATCAAAATACTTACCTGGTGTCAGGTGCTAAGCCCCTGGGTGCCACTGAACACAGACAGGGGATTGCCATGATACTGATATTCAAGAACTGCCCTTGGATGGTTTGCCATTGGCCACCATGGTCTAAAGAAAGTGGGATAGTCTGGTTACTTTCTCCCCCCAGTCACTAGTGATGGATAGGAATTCTAGCACATTTTTTCTGACTCACCAGATTCTGGAGATTGCTTTGCTTTTCTAGAAGTAACAGAAACAAAAACATGTCACACATGTGCAAAGCTAGCATCTATTACACATAAGGCAAATGGAGAATCCATAATTACATGTGTAAAATATTACTCAATAGACTATCACTTAAGGTATAAAGGAACAGTTTTCATTTCCTAATGACTATAATTCTTCCTCAATGTTGCTTTAATATTTAAATTCCATGCTACTCCAAAAATTCTCATAAGGACCAAAACTGCATGTTTAAGACTCGTGGTTTCACCCAAAGGCTAGATCATAGCAGGAACTCAGATGGGTAGATCAGTGGATGACTGACTGACTGTCAATCTAGAAGGAGGGTTGCTTCTGAAGACAGGAGTGTATGATTCCATACTCTTCATTAGTATTTGACAAAACATTAGTATTTGACCAACATTTCACAAAACATTTACTTACCTTTCTTGTTCATCCTGGGAGCAACCAGCTGTTAGAAATGATATTTTGCAATCCTCTGGTCTAAATAATGAAATTCATAATTAATAGTCATTGACATTGGGATATAGAATTTTTGCCTTAAGAAAAGCACTTACTGAAGTTTGGCCAATGCTTTGAGTACAGCAAAGTCTCTCCGCTGACTAGGGGACATCCATCGGTATTTCTCTGCCAGAGCCAAAGTCCTTCCACCAAAGCCGAAAATGGCAGAGAACCCAAAGCGAAGAAGCTTGCCAGCAGAGCTAAAGGTGCACACATCTACTGACTGTATGTGGCCTTGAATGGTGTATTCAGTACATCAGTGAGTGGTTGAAACAGCAGACATCAGAGAGAGTGTTTATTTACTTAAGGAACATTGCCAGGTATCATACATTATAGCTACTATCCTTGCTTACTCTTCACCTATATTTACTACCACAGCTGTAAACGCCACTACCAACTTTTTCCAGGTGATAAGCAAAGAAACTCAAAGTAGTAAATCTTATAGCCTTTATCTATCTCACATAAAATGAGATTAATCATGAGATGCTGAAGTAGATGTACCAGGAAAACAGAGTTAATATTAGCTATGCATTGCATTTATCTGAACTTGAATGCTCTCACATGGGATAGTTTATGGCCCGCAGGTGTGTCCTGGTCATTTTCCTCTTGTGACAACAAGATGTTAGTCCTGAAGTCTTGGTGCAATAAAACAATAGTGCAGATTACATATGCAAATGGTATGCATGGACTTTTTTCATTGTGTTTTGAAATTGTGATTTTGAACATCATCATGATATTTTTACATTAAGATTATAGTAAAACCCTCATTTATTGCTTTTGTCAAAGGAAGTAGTTGAAATGAAAGGCAATTTAGCTAGAAGATGGCTTGCCTTTGAGCTTTAGTCAAACATTTCTATGGTTAGAGAGGGAGAACTTACCATTCCCAGATAAGTCTGACAAAAACACAATAGTTACTTACACGAATAAAAGCTCCCTTCTTCCACCTGGACCTCTCTGGAATTCTTACCCATTATAATGTGCATAGTTGCAGTCACCACGTGAGTAATTCCACAAAGAGAATGTGCCAATACATTCGTAGATCCTGCCAAAACAAGTTAAAAATACATATTATCATTAGAGTGTGGTTTCAAATTAATGTGTGCTCATATTACACATGCCACCACCATGTACTGTTCAGATGAAAATTAGAAATTTATGGCAGAAAAGTTGATAAAAAAACATTAGAAATACAGCTTTCCATTCACAGCACATATGCATGTCAAATGTTTGTGGAACTATCAAACTTCATTAAAAGTTAAAATAAACTCCTCCCCTCACCCATGGACACCTGCAGCAGGTTGGGTACCTGATTCAACCCCTCACCCATTGTAGCACGTGGGAGAACAGGCCCTCTGCCACACATGAACAGCACAGTAGAGTTGACCCTGTTAACAGGGGTGTGGGTGAGCCAGGCCCAAGGGCCTGAGAGGGGCATATCCAGTAATTCGAAGAAGTATAGTAATAGGGATGAGGGAAAGATGCCCTTCCCTCTTACCCTTACTGTCTCCAGCTGGCAAAAGAGCTGACCCCTTTACCAGATTCAATACTCAGGAAAGTGGGCCCTGCACCTCGTCTGAGCAGCACAGTGGAGTTGACCCTGTTGATGAAGGCACAGGTGAGCTAAGCTCAAGAACTGAGCACAGGAGACCTAACCCCACCCTTCATCTGCCATATGGTGGCATGGGTTGGGGAGAGATGCCCCCCTCCTGACTGATCAATGCCTGAGGCAAGTAGGACAGCTGACCCTGAGGTTACAGGAGCAGGAGAACTGCCCCTACTCCTCACTAGCTGTAAAGCTCAGGAGAGCAGGCCCTGCACCTCAACTGGTCAGCACAATAGAGCCAATCCTATTGGAGGAGATGTAGGAGAGCCAGTCTGAAGTTGTGAGAATGGGACTGCTGTCCCCATTACTCATCTGTCTTGTGGCAGCACAGGTGTGGGAGAGATGTTCCTCACCCTCCAATCCCATCTATCAATACCTGAGGCAGGTAAGAGAGCTGGCCCTGAGGTAGTAAGAGCAACACAACTGCTCCTCCCCCTCATCAACTGCAGCACTGGGAGAGCAGCCCCTACCCCTTGCCTGGGTAACACAGTAGAGATGGCCCTGAAGATACAGGTGTGTGAGAACTGACCCCAAAGACATGAAAGCAGGAGAAATGGCCCTTCCCCCTGCTCATCATTGCAAGGGGTAAACTAGCCAGAGCAAGGTGGGAGAGCTCACCCTAGTGAAGATAAGAGAACTGGCAAGCTGATCAACTCTGCAACTACCTAGGCCTAGAATCAGGGTTATATGCTGGCCCATCCCAACAACCACCCCATCTGTTATCTCCTGGGACATGGAGTTGGGATGTTGGTCCTGTGTGACTCACTGTGTCACACTGCAACTTCCATGATGAGATGTTCCCTCTCAGCCCCAAGCCCCCTTGCACTCTTAAACTTTTTGTTGGGGGAGGGCAGGGAAATTGGTAATATTGGGAGACATGATGCGGAGATATGATATGAAAAACACAAAGGATAAATAAAAAGAAAGTTAAAGCTAGAAAATTAGAAAATATCACAAAATATTAGGAAATTGTGTTGTATTGGATATATTAACCCAGTAGTACAGTGTTTGCTAGCATATGTATTTCCCTCTCTGGTACCACAAATTTGAGGATAGTTTATTGACTCATAGCTATTTTGATCATGATACTTTTATTCTTCCCTCAAAACACAACTATATAGAAGCTTACTCCATTCAACTTTAGTGAATAAGCATTTCACTTCTACACAATAATGGGCATGAATAGTAGCAGAATTTCTGTATTGTGTAAACATAAACACATAGATATATAATAAGAAAGATTCAGGCAATAATGAAAAAATACATTACCAATTTAAACTCTGACAGGCATGTTCAAAATACATTCTATAAATCTTAGAGGTAAACTCTCACTTCAAATGGGTTTCCTTTCTATATCTGGGAGAAAAACTGTCCCATGTGAAGAAATTTTTTAACTTGATTATTGCTATCTAAAAATGTGTATACAAATATAATCTCCAATTTGTATAATCATAGGATAATTCAAAATACTCTACAATTCCTCACCTTCTCACTGAAGGGAAAAGCTCTCTAATTAAGGCCCTTTGATGTGTATATATGACCAAAATAATACATGCCTATGTCCTTTGGTGTTCAGTTGCAAAAGCTGAAACACCTCAGCAAATACTACTGTCAACTAAGATGTCATTGAAATAAGTAAAAATTAACAATAAGCACATTTTAATTACTAATGATAAATAAGCATAACTAAACAAAAACGCTAGCCACAATAAGGCAATACCACCAGAACTCACCACCAATTAGCTTTACTCACTGCTAAAGTCATTCTGACTGAATCTCCAGAAACATGATATATTCTGAGTCTAATTACTTAAAATATGGCAACCTGCTTGTTAGATGAGTGGTACTCATTAGGAAGGAACAGCACACAAATATCAATCTCACCAGTTCTATTCAAAGCCATCCTAGGTGTTATGGTCAGTGCAGTTAGTCAAGACTAGATAGAGGAATTGGAAAGAAGGAGTTAAATTGTCACTGGTGCAAATAACAGAATCATTTAGAAAACCCCAAAGACTTCAGTAAAATTGCAGGACACAAAATTAATATATACATGTGATGTTCTTATTTGCTTACAGCAAACTGTCATAAATAAATCCTGACAATAAAATCATTTACAAATACTCCCAAAAATACTTAGCAAATTTCCCTGAAGAAATAAAGGACTTGAAAGCTTAAAGCTGTAAACATAAATGGAAGAGGCTGAAGATGACAGAAATAAATGCGTAGATATCTTATGTTCACAAACTGGGAGAGTTAACCCTGCTAAAGTATCCACACTATCCTAATAAGACCCTATCAAAAGATCCAAAGCAGTCTCCATGAAAATTTACATAGATTCTCACAGAAACAAAAAATATTCCTTTTTTTAAAGAAAAGACAAGACTCCAAGTGTATACCACAATCTTGAAACAAGAGCAATCTGGTGGAGGCAGCATGTACCCTAACTTCAAAAACCACTAAAAACATTGAAACAGCATACAGTTGACTTTAAAAACCAGCATATAAATCAACAGAATAGAATACCAAGATCCCAAATAGAAAACTCCAGCACTTATGGTGAACTGATATTTCACAAATGTACAAAAACAAAACAACAAAATAAAGTTATAGTCACTAAAACTGGAGGCTGGATGTCCACATGCAGGAGAATTAAATTCGACTCTCACATAACTTATGCACAAACCTAATTGACAATGGATTAGATACTGTCAGACCTTCAGCGAGAAAAAATGGAGGGGGAGAACTCTATGATGCTGTTCTAATCTCAAAAGCACAGATGACAAACGCAAACATGTACACACAGTATTATGCCTCACTTAAAAGCTTCTGCACAGATCAAGAAACTTTCAGTGGAATTGGAGACAGCCAACAGAATTGGAAAACACATGGGGAAACCATTGGTGGATGTTTCATCATAGATTTGCTTATCCACAGATAATATTCCACAAAGACTCCTCTCTGCTGTGCAAACTATTTGATGTTGGGGAGGCTGTCTATGTTTTCAAAAATTTTCCCAAAGCCATGAGTTTTCTTGGGAAATCTTTTGATTCTCCTCTAGTGTCCTCATCTCACTATATGTTTACTAAGTAACAAAAACACTTCAGCTTCCTTATGAATATACAGACCTATCACTCTATATAAAGTCTGTCTTTAACCAAAATGCGACTACACAGTGGGATAGGGGAAGTCCTTCAGTGTATATGTTTGTCTTATTGGTATAAATAAAAAACTGTTGGCCAATAGGGAAGCAAGATATGTAGGACTAGGAGTCTAGGAGGATTCTGGGAAATGTACTGAAGAGAGTCATCCCCATGTGACTCCTGTGAGGAAAAGACAAGACAGGAAGGCATCCTCTGAAAGATAAGTCCTTATAAAAATATATACTAGTAATTATCGGTCAATAATTAAGTCAGAGCTAGCCAATAAGAAACCAAGAAAATGGCCAACAGCTTCATAATTAATATAGCCTCCTGTGTGTTCATTTGGGACTGATGCGACTCTGGAACCAGGCTGGCAGGAAAAGTACATGTTACAATAGTGCACTGACTATATGCAATGAACTCAAAGTTCTCTTTTTCCTTGACAGATCACTTGATTTAAAGGAAAATGAGTAAATATTATGACTAGTAATTTCACTAAAGACATACAAAGAGCCAGTGGGTTCATATCATCACTAGTCATAGAAATAAAAATTTAAACCCCATTAACTTCTACTTTGGTTACTTATATACTGAAGTTGGAACGATACAGAGTTGAAGAGCTTGACCCATGAACAATGATGTCATGCAAATTATTGATGTATTCCATATTCCTTTTTTTCTTTTTTCTTTCTTTATTCTTTGGTCTAGTTTTTCAATACAGGTTTTCTCTGTATAGCCCTGGCTGTCATCTAACTCAGTCTATGGGCCAGGCTGGCCTCAAACTCACAGAGATCCCCCTGCCTCTGCCTCCCGAGTGCTAGAAATAAAGCCATTCTACAACATCCAATACCAAAACAAGATAAAGACATAACAACAAAAAAGAAAATCACAGACCTATTTCTCTGATGGACATGGATAAAATTCCCCACAGATGCTAGCAAACATAATTAACCAATGTGTTATGAAGATCACATATTGTCAACAAATTGATTCTATTTTAATAACATAAGAATTGTCTAGCATAGCAAACCAACAATACAGTTGCATAAATGGACTCAAGGACAAAAATCACCTGATCATTAGACCCAAAACCTCAAAACTCCTACAGGAAAATACAAGTATAATAGTTTAAGAGACAGGCATATGCAAGGATTTTCCTGCCAAGGATTCTAACAGCACACAAAATAACCTAAGAATTAACAAGTGGATTGTGTAAGATTGAAGCTTCTGCACAGCAAAGGAAAAACTACAAGGGTGAAGAGATGGCTACAGAATCAGAGAAATTCTTTAGACAACTACACATCAGAAAGGGGTTAAAATCTAGATTATACAAAGAACTGTAAAAATTAAACACAAAACCAATGCCATTTAACCAACAATGAATGGAATGAATAGGTCTCAAAAGAAGAAATACATATAACCAATAGCTACTTGGAAAGGTTTCTATTATCCTCAGACATGTGGAGGGGAGATGTAAACTAACCGTTTTTGAATTCTATCTCATTCCATTCAGCACTGCCATCATCAAGAAAACAAATTATCCCCCCCAAAGAAGCTCATGAGAGAAAAGGTCACCCCGGCACCCAGATGCCCAGATAAGCACCTCACTCCATCCCCTACTGGTGGGCCACCAACACTCTCCCAGAACCAGCTCTGCCTGGCCTCAATAACCCCCTTCTCCTACTCACTGTATGTTCCCACACCTCTGGCAGAGGCTACTCCACCATCCAGATTTCCGAGGTCATACATTTGAGTGGGGTAACCCAGATCCAAAAAGACAAACATGGTATATACTCACTTATAAGTGCCTATAAGTTATAAAGTAAAGGATAATCATATTACAATTCACAGACCCAGGGAGGCATAAGTTACAAGGACAGACCAAGGAGGGGAAATAGAACAGATTTGATGGGTAGACTGGGAATTGGTGGGGATGAGAACAGGATGGATTAGGTGGTGATGGGGAGAGTACTGGGAGAGACAAGCAGAATTGGATGTCATTTTGGAGGTGAGATGGAAGCTCCCAGGAGTCCATGAAGGCAATCATAGCAAAGACTCCTAGTAATGGTGCATATGGAACCTGAACTAGCCATCCAGTGGACGGACTGGGACAGCCCAGTCACAAATCTTTCGATCTACAATTAGGCTTGCCTGCAAGATGTGCTAGTATAAAGGTGGTGAGAAACATGTGGAAGTGGCCAATTAATGACTGGTCCAAACGAAGACCTATGCAAAGACCAGAGGAAGACCATGCAAAATGCTGCCTGGATGTCCAGGAACCAGATTCTGAATAGGTCAGAGACCAAGGATAGAACAAAACATGATCAGAAAAAAAAGTCAATGAAATGATTCCTAATGATACTCATCTATACTCATTGACTGGAGCCTAACATGATTGTCAGAGAGGCTTCATCCAACAACTGATGGGAGAACATGCAGAGACCCATAGCCAAACATTATGTGGAGCTTGAGGAATCCTGCAGAAGAGGGAGAGGAAGGATTGTGGGAGCTAGAGGAATCAAGACACCACAAGAAAACAGCTCAAATAATAAACCAACCAATTTTCATAGGGGCTCACAGAGACTGAAGCAGCAATAAGAGAGAGTGAATAGGTCTGACCTAGGCCTTCTGCATATGTTTTCTGATTGTGTAGCTTGGGATCCTTGAGAGACCCCCCTAACAGAGAGAGTATGGTCTATCTCTAACTCTTCTGCCTGATTTGGGGACCCTTTTCCTCCTTTTGGGTTTCATCATCCAGCCTTAGTATGAAGGGATGTACCTAGTTTTATGATAGTTTGGCATGATATGTTTGGTGGATATCCCTGATAGACTGTCCTTTACTGAAGGGAAAGGAGGAGGAGTGGATCTGGGGCCAAGGGGATGTGTGTTGAGGGACTAGCAGGAGAGAAGGGAGGGTGAACTGTGGTCAGGATGCAATATGAGAGAAAAATGAGAGAGGGATAGGGGGAGGGAGAGACAGAGGGAGGAAGGGAGGGAGGAAGGAAAGAAGGAAGGAGGGAAGGAAGGAAGGAAGAAGGAAGGAAGGAAGGAAAGAAAACAATGTCAACAAAAGCTACCTAAGATGTAGAGAAAGATAAAGCCTTATTTACTATTGGTAGGAATGTGAATTGGTGTGGCCATTTTGGTAATCAATATGGAAACTTTCCAGCAAATTTAAAGTAGCACTACCATATGACCCAGTTATACAAGCTTGTGTATATTCTGGAAGGACTCAAAGTGAACTACCACTGAGATAGTTGCATATTCATGTTTACTGTAGTACTATTCACAAAAAACAAAATGATCATTCAGCCTACATAGCCATAACAGATGAATGAGTAAAGAGATGTGGAATACATGTACAATAGAGATTATTTACTCACAAGAATGAAAATATTTAACTTGTTCTCTTACATACACATACACACACACACACATTCACATGCATACATGCATTCATGGCATGGGAGTAGAAATTAGAGGGCAGTGTCATGACTAACAGGATGAGAAGACATGAAAGGAAAATGAAGGCAATGTGTCAAGGAAATTTTTACAAGTTCATGCTTATGCACCATTCTTCATAATAGCCAAGATTTAGGATCAGCTTTTATACCTGAATGGACCAGACCCTCACCCAGCCCCCTGATTTGGCAGTCATAACAGACTGCAGAAAAGACCCAGCAAGTGGTAGGCATCTGACACAGCAACATGTGCTGAGCCACCGATCTTGCCCAACCTCGTCCTAGTCACTAGGAAGCCAGATATCCTCCATGTAGCAAGGAACCAATCAGAAATTATCTGGCAGGCTCTGGATGTGCTTTGGGGAAATAGTAGAATGCAGCACAGCAACCACCCTGGGAGGGCCTCCAGGCATAGCAACATTCCTTCAGCTGCAGCTGACCAATCAACACACGAAAAGCCACCAAAGCCTGGAGGTGCACCAACCCTGAGACTGTTGCTTCACAGCTAGCAGACCCCCAGACACTCCTCTGATTCTACCCCAATATATTGTCTGTTCCTCCGGGTCCTTCTTGCTCTACCCGCTGTGTTGGGTGGACAGGGAAACCGAGTTAACTCATTAATTGATTAAAGACTCTTTGCTTTTGCATCTGATCGGGTCTCTTGGTGATCTGGAGTTTCAGAGTTTGAGCACAACATGACCAATATATGAATGTGTAGAACATAGTTATAATAGAATGCAACCTTATAAAAGAAGATCATCTGGTGTTTTTGACAATGTGAACAAATTTGTAGGATATTATGTCAAGTAAAATAAGACACTGTAAAATTGCATTTATAAGTAGTGTCTGGAAAAAAAGCAAAAAAACAAAAAACAGAAAACAAAACTGACCTCACATGAGCAGGAAGTAGGTAACAGTGGTGGAGAGATGGGAAGTGTAGGGCCATATTTGTCAATGAGGCAAAGTCCATGTTAGAGAGAATAGTGAGAATTCTATTGTAAAATATAGTAACTACAATTAATTTGTAACATACTTGAAAATTGCTAAGAGTAGAATTCATTTTTTCACACACACATAAGAAAATTATACATATGTGGGAGAGTAGATATGGTCTGTATATTCCAAAACATGTTGTACATGTAACCATGGGCAGCTTTTAGTCAATTTAAAAATAAGTGAGGAAAAGTCATTTAAACCAACTATGATAGAAATAAATTCACTTTTAAAATGTTTCTCAGGCACAAACTTAGATATAATGAATCAGTCTTCAGTTCTTAAGATGCCCAGGTGAATTTTATAGAGGTGTAGTCTATGAATAAGCAGTAGCAACATCACCTGGTTCCTAGGATTCACTTCCAACTTGTGATATGAATTGAATATGTATTTGTGAACACACACAGCAGACCCAAATGAGTGTTTTAACAAATGCTCAGGGTGAGTTCTGCAAACACATAGAAACCTTCACTCTGGGGATAGTTGACTAGAACTCTCCATGAACTTTTGGAGCTTACTGTCTGGATGTTGGTCACATGACTCATGATCAATCTGGAATTATCCAAAGGAAAGCAAATCATTTGTTTCCTGCTGCATCAGATTTACACTACAGGCTTTGGAGAGGACACATACTTGTTTGGGGGGGGAGGTGTCTTTAGTATTATCAGCTGCAGTATTCCATGACATCATTTCCTCCTGGTGTTGAAGTAGACTGCAGAAGCATTCTTCCAGAAAGGCTTTAAGAGACATAATGTAATTCTGCTAAACATAATAGTGAAGGACACACATTATGACTCAAGAAAGTGAAGACAGTCCCCCATGAACTTAAAGTGTGATGAATACTCAGGCAATATCCTGATGAAATGCTAGAAATCAGCTTGTTTCATGACCTGTCAAATTTTTCCACTGTCCTCCAACACAATTTAGTTGTCATTGGAAGCATGATAATATGTCAGAAACTATTCATCATCTGCTCATTAATGCATTACCTTAATCTTTGAATGTGAGCATCTTTATCACTCTGAAGAAAACACAGAAGTTCATAAAAAAAAGTCCATTTGACATCATAAAATTACAGAGAGTACTTTTCCCCTCCAGGAAACTGTACACTATTTGAAAAGATGTCTACAATAAAGAACACTACACTGCTCACATAAATAGCAGAAGGTAAACATTTTAATTAGCAGGAACAGTTATTTTTCTGAACACTACCAGTAACTTTGCCCACCAGCCCCTCCCCCACACCTGATGAAATGTGCTAAAAACAAAGTTCTGGGGTGAGGTGTTGTGTGGGGGGACAGTCGTTCAGGAAAGAAAAAGTGAAACCCTGCCTGATAAATACTAGGCAGCACCCACAGAAGCAATAAAAAAATGAATAAATAAATGAAAAAATTGTCCTTGGAAGTGCAAGCACTTCTGCAAAAACAATTAACTTAATTAACCAGACAGCATGAATATTCATAAGGCTGTTAATGTCTCCTACATCCAAGCAGATAAATGTGATGTAATGACTTCCTAGTCAAGCATATCTAAAATTCTCATGAAAGCAGCACCTACACATCGGTTCTTTGCCTTAAATATCATAGAAATTAACAGTCCCTCGGCAATATTTTATTCTCCACAAATTAATTGGAAAACATGAATTTTATTTATGCAAACTCTATAAGAATATATGATCCAGAGCCATCAGTGTGAGGATTAAGTCTTGTTTTACAACAACTGGATTGCTTTTTTATTTTTATGTCCTCTCAGGCTTTTCTTGCTATGCCCCTATTCCCTTCTAATCAGACTCTTTCTGTATAGTTCTTTAGCACCAGTTCCCATGGCAACAAACAATTCCTAATGGCCAGTAGTTCAAATACAGGCTTTACCACATCTGATACATTTGCGTCTGAGGATAATTCAGCAGCTTAGTCTGTTGGCTCAGTGGAGTAATTTACTAAACACTCCCCCTCTGGGTGTCTCTCTCCAGGAGGCAAATGACTTCAAAGGCAGACTCTGTCTCCTCTTGGGCAGCTTGGAAACTTCCTGCCTAGCTCTTGTTCGCATTCTTCATCAAAAGCCCTGACTAGGCATCGCATCCCCATATTAAACAACCCACACATGACTTTCTCTTCCTGTTAGACAGAATTAGCAAGCTGCAACTCCTTTCCAACTACCAGAGTTTGGCAGCCTGCTGTATCTTCAAAACAAAAAAGATGACAATGCCATTCCTGGAGTTAGTCACTGAATAACAGGATATTTTCAAATTATAAATATGCTTTAAGATTAAGGGGAAAATCCTCAACGCCTCAACATTATGCATTTGTAAAAATCGGTTACATATTATAGGCATAAGCATAATGACCAATTTTTATAAAAGTCCCCGTTCGTGTCAAATGCACACTTCTTAGAAAATGCCCTTTCCATTTCTGAGCTATGGTGGTTAGTGAATGACCTCAGAGATTCAAGTGCTAATGAGAAGAATAGCAGCCTGGGCACATATACTGCCAGGAAGCTTCCACCAGCTACAGGCAGAACTACTAAAATGACACTGAAGGGTCAAAAATAAAATGGCACAAAACAATGATCCAAATTGCATCTTCCTCCCCCATCTCTTTCAGTCAAGGCTGTTTTATTATCTTTGTTGAGACCATTATTGGTTTTTGTAAGTGCCTTAAATTGTCAGGATGTAGTCTAATCTCTCTGCCTATTTAAATTATTGGCTTTGTAAAATACTTCATACTTTACAAAGGTATTAGGATCTGTTCTTTTTTTAATGGTATTTCTACAGGTATCTACTGAATAATGTGTATATTTGCAAAATCAAAAATATACTTTACAATAATAAAACCCTAACACTAATCCCTTATGGAACCACTCATATGTTAAACACATAAGTAGAACTACCACTGTAATAGCAATTCTAAATGTGTGGTATGGATATAATGGTTATTAAATAGAACATTAAATTTTTTAAACACACACATTTTTGTTTTCACAAGAAAAAATATTTTTTCCTGTTTTGTCTTAACAAATTGCATATAGTGGTTTATTAACTGGTTAGTTTTATGTCAATTTGACTTGAGTCAGAGTCATTTGGCAGAGAGAATATCAATTGAGAAAGTTCCCAACCAGATTGGGCTGTAGGAATTTTCTCCATTGATGACTGATGTGAGAGAGTCCAGGCCACTATGTGTAGTGTCACCACTAGACAGGTGGTCTGGATACTATAACAAAGAAGGCTGAACAAGCCATGAAGAGCAAGCTGAAATTCAGCATTCTTCCATGGCCTCTGTTTCATTTCTTACCTCCAGGTTCCTGCCTCAAGATCCTGCCCTGACTTCCCTTCATACTAGACTCAAGCTGTAAGCAGAGATAGATTGTTTCCCCTCTGGGTTGTTTTTGATCATTTTAGCACAGCAATAGAAACTCTAACTTTTTAAAATGAAAAAGTAACCAATTCCAATTCCCTCTATTATTGCAGGAATTAAATAAACAATAACATAATCTTTTCTGAACCATACATAGGCTTGCCGTTTCCCTTTCTTTGACCTCTGCTTTCCCCACAAGTAATTCTGTGCCCTACATCAAAATGAATCCTTTTGGACTAGGCTTAATTGAATGGTGTCTCTGATCTGACACATCCCATAACTCTCTACTGCTTGTTAGGTCAAATTCAGACCCATTTCTGTAGCATGTATGAAGAGTGTCCATCAACTGGCCTACTATTATACTATCATCTTCCATCAAGGCTCCCTCCCTATTCCTCAGGCATTCTGAGGATTTGCCTTTGATTTTATTAGGGTAGAGCTTATATTTTAGGTGTTCTGTATATTCATATAACTTAAACATTATTGCATACTCCCTGTGCTTAGGCACTAGGGATATGCTTGGAGAAAGATGAGGAGCCTGAGGACCTTAAAGGAGATGAGGCTGCAAAAGATTTAAATGTCTTGCCCCAAGTTTTACATTTGCTTGTGGAAACACTGGACAAAGAGTGAGGTTATTTCAGAACCAAAGTCTGTGTATTAGAATCTTATTAGGAGACAGGAATGAAATGACAAAACAGACTATTGTACAGGTTTGTTTTCGTCAACATGACACAAGCTAGTAGGCGTCTGTCCGATATGAGGATACGAGGTATTTTCTTCATTAATGAATGATATTGGGGTGTGCAGCCCACTGTGGTTGGTGCTAACCCTGGAAAGATGGTTGTAAATGCAGCTGAGAAAGTGGTGGTGAACAAGCTGGTAAGCAGCACCCTTCCATGCCTCTGCTTCAGTTCTTGGCCTGGCTTCCCTGAGTGATGGATTGTAAACTAAGGTGATAAAAGCCCTTCTCTCCCCAGCTTGGTTTTGGCAATGGTGTTTTGTCATACTGATAGAAAGTAAACTAGGACAAAGAGCAGTTTAAGGAATCTGCAGCTACTCCTTGCCTGCTGGTATTAGGCCAAGGGGAAGCTGTGACGCAACGGGGGTCAGGAGGCAGTCCATCTCCACCCCAGCACTCTTCTGAGCTCGGAGGAGCAGAGCATGGGCCACTTCACTGGCAGATCCATCTCCACCAACACAGACGACACTGAAAACACACAAGCAAGCAGAAGGAAGCAGAATTAGTTCACATTCACAGAGTCGAGAGTTTAAAACATTTTCTAACCTTACTCACATAGTGTATGTGACTGTGTAGTCAATGTAATCACTCAAAAAACTTTAATCCTTTAGTAAAGGACAATGGCTCAGAAGACACAGTACTACACAGGTGCAAATACATTATAAAACCAGACCCTCCACACTTCTCCAGAGAAAAAATCATTTGAATTGGAAGGTATTAAGCAGTGAACATTCAAACTCACATCTAACCAGAATTTGATTGTTAACATCCAAAAGCGTGTCACTCCAAATTTTTGAACTTTATCTGTTTGGTTTCACAACTTTCCATGAGATTTCCCAGTGCTTTACAAAATTTTGTTAAAATCCTTATCCATGACTATGCACATGTTGTTTGTGTTCTAAAAGGACCTTATAAACTCTTCATCCCCACACAAAAATACAATTCAGATGGAAAGCTTGACTCTTACATTCATAAGATGGTAACACATGACTACAAATAACAGCATCACAGGTATCTTAACTCATTGCTAGAGCTAGAGATAGCCTTTCCATGAGTATTCTGTGAGATAAGTAAACAAATACATACATTAATAACCTTTGAGTTTTTGTCATAATACATAAAATAGGAAAATCTTTTGAAACTAAATGATAAGTATAACAACAGAGAAACAGTAAGTAAGTACCATCAGTGAATAACAGTTAATGAACATGACTGTATACATACCAGGCAATGTTCTCAGCACTCTGTGAATTACTTAAGTGATAGCTGCAGACAATAGATATTGATAGCCTCAATTTACAGATTAAGTAGCTTCCCATGGTCATCTATCAGCAAGTATCTACACTACCATTCCTTATGAAATCCAAAGACTGTAGCCTTATGGGAATATTACTACTTTGAAAATCAATTTGAACCAGGAGAACCATTGAGGTATATGACATAATCCAATGAATGTGAAATTGAATGAATTAGAAAGGAATATACTGTTTTGTGTCATGAACTACTAGACTGTTAATCTTTACTGTCATCTTGACCGGATTTAGGTTTGCCATGGATGCATACTTCTAGTTAAATCTGAGTGTGTTTCTAGAAAGGATTAACTGCCTAGAGAAAACTTTGACTATGGGCAGCACTATCCCATAAACTAGTCCCAGACTGAATACAATTGGAGGAAGCGAGCTGAGCACCAGTATTCATCCCTCTCTGCTTGTAACTATGGAAGCAATGAGACCCACAGCTCACACACCTGCCGCCATGCCTTCCCACCAGGAAGATGGTACAACCTTCAGATTGTGAGCCAAATCAAACACTTCCCTCCTTAAGCTGATTTTTTTAAAGTCTAGATATTTTGTCACAGTAAAGAGGAAAAATAGCTAATCAAATTGATAAGATTACATCAAGGCATATGACATAAACCCAATGAATGTGTTTAATATAAAAACATCATGGAATAAGATACTATAAGGAAAAAAATCATCCTTTCAAATAAGTTACTATATGCTGAAGAGTTACTTGAATGACCCTTTTGCATCTGGTAAGTCTTACTGTTCTCAGAGTGAGTCAACTTTGCCACTAGCATTAGAAGAATGATCCTTTCTAGAAAAGTAGAATCAGGGTGCACATTAATTTCCTTTTAAAAAAGAATGATAACAAACGTTTTTGAGGGGACAGCTTGCATATCTTCTATCACAACCAATATTATCTTTGAAATGTTGAATGTCAGATTGTTTTTTGACTCAGAGTTTGGCTTTTAAAAACTTTATAAATATTACAAATACCACAGTCAGTCCGAGGAACTGTCAATATTAGCCAGCCAACATCTACTGTATAGTTTATATGTCTAATAGTATTATGAAAAAAGAATAATGCTATGCAATACAGAAAATTAAAAAGCACACAAAAATTAAAAGCCAAGATTAGTATACTAACAATAACATAAACACTACAGGTTGGTTTAACAGTGTTCGTTTAACAGTGAATGCACCTGACACAGCTTCCAGTCTGCACAGCTGACACAATTCTCATTTTTGCCCTTACTTAACTTTTTTCAGACCACATAAATGAGGTAATATGGAGCCTAACCTTCAACGAGTTTTAGCCATGGATCCCACAGTGTTTGCTAGAACACTCTGGAGTGGGACACCAGCTGTCATGGAGTGTTGATCTGCTGTTTCTCTTGGCTTTCGAAATATGTCACAATGTGTCTTCACAGAAGCATATGGAACTCATTTTTAAAAACTCTAAGATCTTAGGAAATGGTATTTCTTAAACATCATCTACCAAACTGTTTCACTTTGCTGACTAAGCTGCATGGAAGCTTTTTTGGATTGCAGCTTCTCAGCCTCCTGTCTAGAAGCCATGAATAACTTACTAACCACTTTCATTCAATACCTCCACTGCTGTTAAGCAGAGATCCTCCCACTCATCAAAATGAAATGGCATGTTGGGTCACATTCCATATTTAAATCTTTTGTATAAACTTTTTTCAAAAATATTCCCATGGTCATTCTTTTTGTTTTTTTTTTGTATTATTCTTCTCTCATATAGTATATCCTTACCTCAATTTTTCATTCCTCCTCTCCTCCCAGTCCTTCCTCTGTTTCCTCTCTCCCCAAGATCCACTTCTTTTCATTTCCCTTCAGAAAAGTTAAGGCCTCCCAGGGATATCAACCAAATGGGGCATAACAAATTACAATAAAGAATAGGCACACTCCCTCATATTAAGGCTGGGCGAGGAAATCCAGTAGGAGGAATAGGGTCCCCAAAGCCTGCAAGAATCAGAGACACCCCCAGCTTACAATGTTAGTAATCCCACAAGAACATCAAGATACACAGCCACAACATAATTGCAGAGGGCCTCGTTCAGTGCCATCCAAGCACTCTGATTGTTGCTTCAGTCTCTGCAAGGCCCACGAGCCCTTTTTAGTTAATCCTATGGGCTGTTTTCTTATGGTACCTTGATCCCTCTGGCTCCTGCAATCCTTCTTCTCCTGCAGTGTTCCCAGAACTCTATGTAATGTATATATGTGGGTCTCAAGATGTACTGGGAGTAAAAGTGGCATTGAACTTGTGGTAGTGGCCAAACTGTAACTGGACCAACACACGAACACACGAGACCCATGCCATGAGAGGGAGCTCCTGCCTGACACTGCATGGAGGGCTAGGATCCAGAGTCTGGATAGAACCAAACAAGACCAGAAAAAACAAAAAGAAGTCAATGAAAGAGTCCTAATGATACTTTGCTATCCTCGTAGTCTGGAGCCTAGCATAATCATCACCAGAGAGGTTTCATCCTGTGCTGATGTGATGGGAGCAGATGCAGATACCTATGGTCATTCTTCAAACAGGTTCAATGAAGGACATTTCCTGTCTGTAGAGACTTGTTCTCTTGAAGTGTTTACTGAAATCATGTTTCCACCTTTTTCACAACAGTCCATGTATTTCTAAGTAAGGGAAACTAGAATTACCTTTTAATTAAGGTGATTACTCCAACCACACTAGCTCCTATTAGGAAAGCTAAACCCATCCAAATAAATGAACTACTTAAAATATTTGGGACATAGATGACTTCTAATATAAATGTAAAATTATTATACACCCAAAGTAAATTAGTATGCCATAGTATTAAAACAAATTAAGGGACTTACTTAGTTCACATAACAGGACAATTAGTTTCAGAATTTGTAATAACTAAAGGCTCTATGTATCTTTTAACATTACAGTGCAAAGTAATTTCCACATGGGAAATAAATTAAAAATGTTTGGGTAAAGGGAAAAGTCTCTTTGCATTTGAACAATCCTTTTCCTACTCTGAAGACCTTCTAAATCCCCATAATGCTGTAGTTACCAAGAGAAGACACTGACAGATACTACACTCAGCAGAAAATCCCGAGCCACCAGTGAGTAAGTGCAGATTTCATATCTACATCTCTTATCCTAACTTTTATATAACCAAAGTCCAAAGCAAGGGTTTAAATGAGGCCATGATCTTCTTACACTTGTAGCTTGGGACTCTAGACCACAATAAGTCACTCATTGACATGAATTTCCCAGTCATATTTTTAAGTGTATACTTCCCAGAATAGTCCTTCAAATGTAGCCTATTTATCCTTCTGTCCCCTTCTAGGTAAGAAATTATAAAGTAATTATCCACCTTGTCCTCTGACAGTCGATGTTTGTAGAGTATAAGCATCTAGATTTACTCCCACTTTACAGATCCTTTGGTTTAACCATGTTTTACCTTCTAAGTCTTATGCCTCACTAGGCACTACTTTTTTCTTTACTACAATTCAGTGCTTCCTTTGATGGTAACACTACCCTTCATGTGTCTTAATATTTCTTTGGAAGCGTTAAAGCTTTCTTTTGATTTGGGGAAAATGAAGATGAGCTACCTTTCTTCTACCCAGTGGTTCACTGGTCGTTCCTTCCCATCTCTGTGTAGCAATCATCCACATACCATCTTTTAAAGTTCTCAGATAGCAAAGCTTGCATAAACATCTTCCCCAAAGTAATGTTTTCACCACATACATAAATCCCTTACATTTGCAAATCAATTCTGTATCTCATTTGCCTTGTTCCTAATGTTCAAATGCCAGTGAGCAATTTCAGCACACTCCAGCAATGCACTACAAACAAGTTTCCAAGGTCTAAGACATCTGCTTCTGTATGCTCAAGCTGCCTACGCCCACCTATGAGGACCTCAACCACCTGGTGTCTGGCACCATAAGTGGCATCACTTTGTTGTATTTCCCTGGCCAGTTCAATACCAACCTGGTGCAAGCAGGCAGTGAACATTGTGCCCTTCTAATTGTGTCTACACTCCTTCATGCCCGGTTTCACACCCATCACTGCTCTGGGCAGTCAGCAGTACAGGGACCCTGACAGTGCCCAAGCTCACACAGCATACGTTCAATGCCAAGAATATGACCATCTGAGAACCATGCTATGGCCACTATCTGACCATGGTCATTTTCTTCCATGACCCCATATTCATGAAGGAGGTGGACAAGCAGATGCTAACCATCCAGAAAAGAACAGCAGTTACTTTGTAGAATAGATTCCTAACAACATCAAAGTGACTGTATGTGATATCCTGCCCTGGGGCCTAAAGATGGCCTCTACCTTCATTGTCAACAACACCATGCATCCAAATGTGCTATTTAAGAGCATCTTGGAACAGTTCTTGGCCATGTTCGACCTCAAGGCCCTCATGCAGGCAAGGGAATGGTCTGGGGCTCAAGCATCAGAAATACCAGATGCCTTGATCAAAGACAGGAAAGAAGCTGTTGATTGATGAAGAAGAGATCAACGAATGGACACATTGGTGCACACCTGCTCTTTACTTGTTCCTTGTGTGGCAATGATGCCCTACCTAAGCCTGTCACAGGTCCCTCTAAAACCAAACACACCTGTGCTGTTTCCCAGGTTACCTGGTGCAGTGTTTTTCTTTGGCAGAGAATTGGTAGTCCCATAAGACCAGGGATACTCTGTACTACAACACTTGAAAGCAAAGTAGAGGATTATACAGGGCTCAAGAAGGCAACCACCTTCCAGTTCAGTACCCATCCATGAGTTTTAGCAGGGAAGTTAGAATAAGGACTTGCTTTTCATCCCTGGTGATAAAAACTGAAACCATACAGTGTTGCAGTAATATGCAATTTAAAACTTTGTGACAATCCATTCATAATAAAATGCTAAAACTATAAAACAAAACCATATGTACTTAGTCAATAAGTTATAAGATAATTAAAACCAACATCTTTTATTCATTCAGAAAATAGATTTGTTGTAACAAAATGTCTACTGCAATCAATCACAGCAAAATTCACTATCGGGTAGCTATTAAGCTACCAGTAAATCTGCAAAGGACAACAGCATTGTTACGTTGCATGATAAGCATAATATCTTTCATCAATGTCTTCATTTACATTGACCTGGATTTTAAGTACAAATATATGCCTGTTAAGTACAGGGTAGTGCACTGTGTTTCCTGGATACTTATAATTTAATTTCTCTATGTGATTCCCTATGACAGATCTATAGAGCTGGATTACCACAATATATTAGCTTTAACTGTTATCACATGCATATGAACAAACAGAGCCTGATTCATTATAATGCTTTAAAATTATCAGTACCAAATATGTGTCTAAAAGCTAAGAAAGTTTTTGATAGCATCATTTTTATATATGTGAAGATTAATAATGTAACCTACCCATCAAATCCCTGGAGTTCACATTCATCAAGCAGGGATAGGGCGTGCCCTTCATACTCTGTTACTATTAAAGAAAAACAAAAAAATGAATATTTTAAATAGAAATCTATGCTTTCTAAGTTTGGTTCAGCAAGATATTATGTTCAATACATATGATCAGGTCATAAAGGAGCATTTATTCTTGAGTATTTGAATCACAGGAAAGAGGATTAAGCATTCATTGTCTGGTATTTTATAGCTTTAAGTAAAAGAAGACTATGCAGTTGTTGCAACTATATAAGTCATTTAGGGATATCCAACACAGTGTGTAAGGAGTTTATCTTGGTGCTTGTCTTTTTAGTTTTCCCTAAATAAGACACTTTTCTTTTTGATCAGAAGCTTGGGAACAGGAGTATTTTGAAAATACAGCATATTTGCTGGCATTGAACAGTCAATGTTAAATCATTTTGGCAACCTAACATGAATAAATTAGTTGAAAGGTTAGTGTAAGATTTACATACCAGAAGAACATGTATCTGGAGATGCTAGACTCAAAAAAAAGAGGATCTGGAAGTGAAAATACAAAGTAATGCCAACTGGGTGATAAGAAACCCAAACCCAGTGGGAGGCTGACATACAGGACCAGAGCCCAGGTCCTCAGAGGAAACAAGTCTGTCACAGCACATCTCTGTTGCCACAGCCACTAATATCCCATGAAGCACTGAAAATACCAGTGGAAACAGGATGAGTGGGCACACTGCAGATGGCACCAAGTATCACAAGCACATTTAGCATTTTCTGGGGCATCCCTGCCAGAAGAGGCAGCCCAGCTGTATCCACCCATCAAAGATTTCTGCTGACTGACATGACACTGCAGATGGATTTTTTTGTGTAAGAATGTGCATCATTATATGCAAGATTACATTAATCTTTCATGCCTGTCTGTCCTTGGTGCCAGCATGGTTCAAGCTTTTGCTATGATGTTTTTAGATATTGTTAAAAATTATTAGAATTGGTGTCTGAGAGAATCATTCTGTTTCTAGTGCTGTTATATTGTAATTCTCTCCAACCTTATTCACCAGAACAAAACCCCTGTTAAACTTCAATCAGAGGAAAAATATAATGAAATTCAAAATATAAATATTAATAAAGTTGCAAGGGAACATTATCGTAAAAGATGTGTGCTGATAATTCATTTATAGCCATATACATATAACCATGTACAACCTTAAAATGCAATATAGTAAGTGTTCCTACACAAACATGGTCAAGATCACTAAGGCTGTTATGAAGAAAAACATAGGCTATAAATAAGTTTTCACATCTGGGTTTTACAGCACAGCTTACTTTTGAAAAAAAATTCAAATACATTATGAAACTCACTTTAAGGTTGTGTTTTGGCTAAATGATTTTTATTTAAGTGAGAGTTAAAATACTTTAATTTTCTCTTTAACATCTCAAATGGCATTTGATTATACATTAATGTAATACATCTAAGTACAGGAATCTTAAGGGATATTAAATATGCTACAAAATTAATCACTTTTTTGTCTGAAACAAAAAAATAGGAAACAAGTGAAAGAAAACTGACTAGGAAATGCACAGGTGTAAAATGTTGTAACAGGATGAATAAAATAACTTTGGAGAGACACAACATATTCTAGTGACAACCTGTGCTGTAAAATAGCAAAAAGTGATCATAAAGAAAAAGAAAGCAAGGAAAAGGATTAACTGTAATTTAGATAACTATGCAAAATAGAAAGAATCTAAATAAGTAACCAGGCAGATTCTTGTGGGCTCTAGAATCAGACAGAGTCATGATTAACCCACCAAATATGATCATGAAAAGGGATTCTCAATCAATTTTCTTTACTGTGATACTGCCTTTTCATCTACTTTCCTTTTCCTATGAAGTCAGCATTCCATGTCTTTTCTGTATTAGAGATTTACAATGTATATTTCACCATTCTTTGCCCCAGCACTCCTCCACTTCAGCATAAATGTTACTACTCCAGGATACTATGTCTAGGGCAAATAATTTCCTGAGGTTAATACTAAATGTCCACAATGAATTTGAAAGAAAATGCAGATGCAGTATGATTTAGACACAAAGAAACATGTCTTGGTCTGGTACTCACACTTCATTATGGGTTAGGATACTGAAATACTGTTTTCCTCCTCTCCTACAGCATCCCAGTAAGCTCAAAGTGGAACCAGACCAGGATGCTCAGCTTCTAGCACCTTTCATAACTTGTGGCCCTACCCCATACACAAACTTTGTGGATGAGTTTCCCCAGATGGCCTAGGTTTCCGCTGCGTGAAATAAGGAAAGAGAAAGCTACAAAGCAGAGCCACATAGAGCAGATGAGAACGAACACAAAATCACAAGAGCCGAAAGTCAAGACCACATAAAAAGAAAGAAGATGATTCCACAAGAGCTCCACTTTCTGAGCAATACCCCTACATACAAGGAGGCAGAATTATCTGGTGCCTAGATAACCCCAGGGACACTGACCTGGTGATGACCATAGCTAAATTCAGAGATGCCTCTTTAAACCACAGTGCTAATGACCATGAAAAGGTCCAGCACCTTTGTTAAAGCAGGGGGTGAGTGATGATCAAAGTGCATGTTGTAAATATACAGAAGGAAGGGCACAGAGTGTGATGGCTCCACACACCAGATAGAATGCATTAATTTTGTGTTGTTACAATGAACAACATTAAATACAGGGAAAAAACAATTGTAGGGAAGTAACTGCCAGCTCTGATGTCCTCTGTGCTGTGCAGTGTATAACTAGCACAAAACCATTTAGCCAGAGGACAAGTGCGTTTGTGATACAAGCAGTACTCCTAATCTGCAAACTATGTGGCCTTGGGCAGGATCAGCACACACATGAGATGGCATAAAGGAAGTACCTTTGCTTATGTTCACAAAGGCAGTGAGACTGTGCTCAAGGACATCTGTGTTCTTCAGGAACACAACACTCTGCCTCTAGCATAGAATCCCAAGATAAGGCTCCTTGATATCACAGGGAGAGCCAAACACCTCCCCTGTACTACAGCATGCTATCTATGCTCTCGTCAATTCCTCTCCATGTGCAGTCACAAGACTCAACCTGGGAAACTGGAACTGTCTGGTACTGAAATTATTTTCTCAGATTTCTCCATTTCTCTGACTTTGCACTTTATTGCTTTGTGAGTTCATTCTGTGACCCAACGACCTCTCAAAACTCTAGCATCTTTTTGTTCTTATTATTTAGTTTTCAAGACATTGTTTCTCTGTGTAGCCCTGGCTGTCCTGGAACTTACTCTGGAGACCAGGGTGGCCTTGAACTCAGAGAGACCCACCTTCGTCCTCCCTAGTGCTGGGATTAAAGGCACCTTTAAAGGTATAAACTCTAAAATCTTCTTGATTTTGAGAGCCAGAAAGGGAACATATGTCATATGTCAGCCTGGACTTATCATTCATTCTCTTCTTGGACCAGTGGACCAATATATTACTAGAGTAAATGCCTATTTCCTCTCAGCATTTCGAGAAGCCTTGCTGATGCTCTTATCAGAGAAAATCCTACATTGGCAGAAGTAGCAGCATGGACTACTGTTTTAACTCAAATGTTTCAAAAAGCACTGATCTATATTCAGAAGTGGCTAGGAAGTCAGCACAAATTGAAGTGAAAGAAGTATAAATGTATTGATGTGCAAGATTTATGTTTAAAATACGTGTGTGGAAAAGTATTATATATAGGTGCAATATTCAAAACGTGCCAAATACTAAACAGCATGACACCCCCTAATAAACTACCGTATAGAATTTAGGCAATTCCTACTCCACTTGGACTCATCAGTGCAAAGGGGCCATGTTGAAACAATGATTTTGAAATATTCTTATATTTTTTTCCATTAAATGGCGAATTGAGTCTTGTCACATAATTTTATGAAAATGACACTCCTACACTGAGGGCCATCTTTGTATGACACTTTAAGCAAGGAAGACAGAAAAGCTGAAACACTTCCAGCAGCCACATGTGTGTTCGGTCTTTGACACAAAAAGGGAACATTTCGGTGTGAAATTTTGCTGATAAACAGAAGAAAAGCCTCTGCTTCCTTTATCTCTTCCTCCTCTCCCTCTTTTTTCTCCTCTTCCTCTTCCTCCTCTAATTCAGCTGGTGGGTTCAATTCTGCCAAGCAATATCACAAAATTGTGACTTTTAAAAAGCCACCAACTCTAGATTAAGATGTGATAAACAAATTGCTGAGTGTAAGCATAAGATTCAGCCATGTCTGGACTCAGGCTTGTATGGGGTTCATTGCTAGGGTGGGGTTGGGGCTTCCCAAAGCCACTTTGTCCTTCTTCCTTAAGAGAATTCACATTCATTTCAGACATCTTGCTTCAGTCTTCAAGAAGAGGGAATCTACCCCAGATCCAGGAAAGGAAATAGCTGTCCTTTATTGGGCACAGATAATCAGACTGAAAGAAGATTTGGTACATATTAGGGTCTCCCTTTCTTGCATAAACATGCCTTTCTCCATCCCACTAGGTAAGAATAAGAAAGGCTACAATTTGCTGCGCATTGGTGGCACACGCCTTTAATCCCAGCACTCAGGAGGCAGAGGCAGGCAGATCTCTGTGATTTCCAGACCAACCTGGTCTATAAGAGCTAGTTCCAGGAGAGCCTCCGAAGTCACAGAGAAACCCTGTCTCGAAAACCAAAACAAAACAAAACAAAAAAGCTACCATTTAATGGCCAAATGTTTTATGAAGATGGGATAAACTGGATTCAAGATAAAATAAAAATTATGAAGGTATAACCAAAATTATAGTCTGCCAAGATACTATATTATGGATCCTTATACTATACTACTCCCTCCTATCTCTGCCTCCTTACTTAAATATGCCTGCTACCCTCCTTTCTCCTTCCTGTGTCTACCCCTTTGCCTCTTAGGAACTATCTGGATCGTGTGGTTTTTCTTGAGCCCTCTCATCAAAATCATTGTCACCTCCGGACACCGTGGGTTTTTATACATATGCCAAAACCACAATATTTAGTTTTAAATATCCACTTGAATTCTCAATATCCATGCATCCTGCATAGAGCAAGATTGTCAGGCTGACCTGGAAAGCTTGGGCACAAGTGGTGTACTTGCCTCAGCCTCCCAAATACAAGGTACAGTGCCTGAGTTCCAGAGAGAGATTCAGAAACTGACTGACACATAGTAACACCCAGGCAAACTCCTGAGCAGTGTTCACATACGGAAAATTAACAGCCATTCATGAGCTTGATATTCATCTAACTTTTAATTGGCTCATCCCAGGATGGACTTCAAACCCTTCCTATCTTTGGAACTATCCCACAGACAATAGGGATGATTCTAGATTGTACATTTCCATTGTGAATCATCTGTAAGGCCAAAGTTATAGCCTTTACAAGCTAACTTTTCCACTGTAATTTCAATTAACTCAGAAATTCATTTGACATGTTTCTTTTTCTTTTATTGTTATTTTGTTATTTATTTATTTTTAATAAGACTGGTTTTACTATGTAACTGGCCTCAGACCCATTATCTTCCTCCTCAGTCTCCCTGGTACTAGAATTACAGGCATGGATCCCCATTGTTGAATCCTCTTTAACATTCAAGATGGCAGATGCCTTTGGTGTGACTGAACTTCCCACAAAGCTTCTTTGGGGAGGAACTTCCCTTCTCCCTGAGTGCTTTAAGACACTCCCCGAATTTCAAAGGCCTTCTTCACACTGTGAGACCTTTCACTGTCTATCACAGCTGAGCAAAGCCAGGTCCCTCCTCCAGAAACCTGTCATTAGGACTAGGAGACTCAACTGCACTCTGGGCTTGTCTCCTGAATAGCTTAATTACATAAAAAACTCCACCCACTACAGTGTGCAGCAGATACCCTCTACTGTAGTGAAGCCATATAGAAAGAAAGCCCAGAAAGTTCTGGCTTTACACAGTGTCTACCCTTCCTAGTAGATGTGCATAGTGAGTGTTAATAAATTAGGGGAATTTAGGCGGGCATTGGTGGCACATGCCTTTAATCCCAGCACTCGGGAGGCAGGTGGATCTCTCTGAGTTCGAGACCAGACTAGTCTACAAGAGCTAGTTCCAGGACGTCCTACAAAGCCATAGAGAAACCCTGTCTCGAAAAACAAAAAATAAGCAAAAAAAAAAAAAAAAAGAAAGAAAGAAAGAAACAAAACAAACAAACAAAAAACGAAACAAAACAAAACAAAAAAATCAGAAGAATTTCGTCTCCAAATGCTGAATGTCCAAAAAGACTTTACCAACATTCTTTCTACTAATTTGGGGATTAGCAAATTCCTGTCTTCCTTAGCAAGAAGCTAAGTGAACTCTTATTTTTGAGGATGGATTCAAGCTCCCAGTCTCTCCCAAATCAAGGAAAAGCAGCAGTTTTGTGTTTAATTTTGCCCTAACCAGCAGGGGTCAGGGTCAGAACAGAAACAACCTGAGGGAAGGGGCACAGAAAAACATTAGGCAGAAATATGGTACAGTAAACACTTGGAAGGTTTCAAAAACCATAGTTTGCTTTCAGATAACATCTAGTAACTGTTACTGTGAAAGATCTAAAATATTGCTATTTCCATACAAAATAGCATGATGACAAAGCAAGCTAAGTGAATGACACCCCTGGAGCTGACAATGGGACACAGGAAGAATGCTTTACTGTTCTGAGCAGCTGTTCGTGCTCAGGAAGGAAGACTGTGTGGGCTCCATGTGGAGCGGTAAAGTTACACAGAGAAAATAACTCACTTGTCACATCGGTCTTTATCCCCGCAAGCGTCAGCAGAGGCTCCACCTTCTCAAAATAGACTTGCACAGACTCCTGTCTGTGACTCTGGGGGTTGAGGAAGATCTTTAGGGCCTTTGGCCTGCTTGGGAAACCTAAAGGGAAAATGGGTAAGAAATTGTCCGTCAGAATATCATACACATATCTAAATAGCATTTGTTGCTTGTATCTTAGATTCTTGCTTGAGTGTGTGTGTGTGTGTGTGTGTGTGTGTGTGTGTATGTGTGTGTGTTTAGTCATCTGCTTTCCTAGAGGTGAAACACAATGCTTTCCCTCTTCAAATAAGTCATGCATTATGATGAGCATGTTATTCAGAAAGAAGGGTATAAATAATAGCAACTTGTAGACATGGAAATCAGTACTGATGCACCCTGACCCACTCACAGCTGAGGCACGTCTTTGTGGAAACAGGCTGTGGGCTGTGACAAACAAAAATGTGTATTTCCTTCTCCTTAGATATATATGGACACTGGAACTGAGCACCTAATGATCTCAGGTCTTCCGACATTTGACCTATCCAGTAACTCCAGGGACAGACTGAGCAAGCAGGGGTGAGTCACTGTTATCAACCAGTGCAGTGCCTGCTGGTGACTGAAAGGAGGCCTGAGGTCAGAGTTCAAATCCCAGGAGGTGGCAGGGGAGAAAGCGCTTTTCTCCTGGGGACTGGGAAGGCCTCCCCTCTCAGAGGCCAGTGGTGATGGAGACAGTGGCTGGCGGGCCGCCTCACAGTTGGGACTGAGATTTGATACTGCAATTTTCTGGGCAAGAGGCTTGGCACTGAGAACCCACTTGGAGCAGGTGCAGAGCCAATCATCTGCTGTTAGGAAGGGGTGGGAGCCAAAAGAAAGCTGACAACCATTTCTTTCATGGTAAGCTGCTTCAGAAGAGAGTGTTTTAACGTTACAAAAGAAGTTAGCATTCGTTTCTAATAAAACCATTGCTGAAGATAAATGGGAGAAAATGTCCGTTTGTATCAAACTCTTGTGTTTCATGCTTCACTTAGGGAGAATATTTTCCTCTCTTATATTTGACGTAATAAAAATCTTTGACCAGCACATACTGTTGGAATTCAGGGAGGAATGGACAGAGCCATGCTCAAGCCTTTGGACATTCTCAAGAAACCTTTGGAACCTCTGTTTGATGAGAAGCCCCGTGGCTCTCCAGATCACACATGAGACCGTCCATGCCTCAGTCTTCCAAGGTCTTGTATTTGAGTGAGCACTGAGAATCCTAGCGTGTAGCTGCTGGCTGCCAGGCCTCCTGCATCTCTCACCATCATGCCTCCGGTACAGGGTTCTGGCACCTGTTCCCTGAGTGCTCCGCCCTGGTTCGAATAGCCCTGGGTGGGAGTGTATGGGGTGGGAGCTGGGGGGTTATGGGGTAGTGTTACTTCTTAGGAGTCTGGAAAAGCCCCCTTGGAGAAAGTAGTATCTGAGTAGGGCATTTCCCCTCCACCTAGAATGTCTTCCCCTATTACTCTGTAATTCATTAACTGTCTGCCCATGAGATTCTACCTGACACCAGCCTACCTGAACACACAGAGCTGTGTTAATACAACAAAGACTTTTCTGGAGGTGTCTCAACTCCCTTATGACAACTCCATCCATTACACTGCATCAGATGCCAAAGCTGGGCCTTCTTCACTCAGGTGGTTTTGTTTCTGTTTCAAACATGCCCTTTTTTTTTTAAAAAAAAAAAGTAAAATTCTACCATTCATTTTTCAAGACTGGTTCCAAACTCCACATCCTCCCAGGAGCCTTTCTTTGTCATCCCCAGAATCCATCCATTTGGCCGCTTTGTGCCCAATTTACTCCAGGCTCGTCTGTTACCTGGTTCTTGAACCATTTATACAAAAGTCTCTGACAGAACATCTTGGGACTCCTACTAACCGACCACAGCACAGTTAAAAAATGGGAGACTTGACAGTAATACATTATACTATACTGGGTTTTTTTAAACATTCAACTTGACAGGCTACATGGACAGTAAGCAAATGATGAAAAGGGAATTTTTGTCTTAGAATAATAATAGATATATGAGGCATTCCAAAGTTAGAAAAATCTTATTTTTAGACATTAGAAAAAAATGATTCAGGCAAGAAGTAACCAGAGCCAGAATCATCTGGTGACAATTAGGGAAGGCTATTTACATATCCCTAAACTCTGTCCCTTTACAAGACCCTGAAGCAACTGCAGCTGCAAGCCCTGAGAGACTCTGGATCCGATGAGAAGAATGTTGCCTTCTCTTACCCAGGTTCTAAGCAGGCAAACTCCTGATTTGCTCTCACTAAACCATGACAGAGCCAGGATCTGGCTTTAAACTTCGGCACAACAGTCAGAAACAATGCCTTGGTCCATCTGCGTTGAGTGGGACATTTCCTTTGGTAAACAGACAGTACCCACACAATTGGTATCAAAAAACCTGACTTTAATTTGCCCATTTTCCTATTATTCTAATTTCCTCACTAACACCTCCATATCTATTGTGTAGCATGTAGAAGCAGGGTATCTGAGGCTCCATTTAATGAATCCCATATCCTCAAGGTGACATCCTAATTGCAGAATATAACAAATAAGGGAACTCACTGTAGGTTAAAAGATATCTGATATAAGGATAAAATTGCAGCATAGTAGAGCAAGAGAGAAGGCAGAGGTGAAGGTGATTCCCTGGATGGGGACAGTCAGGTCCCCCAGAATGTTACAGGGATTCCCAGGAACTTTGATTTTGTTGCTTAGAAATATATGCATGGTGAATTTTGAGCAAAGCAGCAATATATCCTTTGGGTTTTCAAGGCTTACTCTGGTCTCTACATAGAAGGTGAACATATTAGGACAACAGGAAAATAAAGTCAGCACAGCTGGGTAACATTCTGAGTAGAAGACAATTGTTCTTGGACTGGAGAGGGTACAACAGATGTTGAAACAAATATTAGATTTTACATATATTTTTGAAGTGGAACTGGTCAGAAGTTATATCCTTTAGATAAGACCCTGGAATAAAAGTGTCCTGATGAGTCAGAGGTGGATAGATAGGGGGGAAACAGGAGGAAATCGGGCAGGTGAGTTAGGAAGACTAAAGGAAACGGGTTGCAGAGAGGGGGCTTGAAATCGAGAGTGGGAGCACTGCGGGTGGTAGAAATGAGAAGCCAAGACTTTAAACAAGCTCCATGTGATGCTAATGGGCTCTGGGGTACATTATGAGTGTGTACATGGTGAGTTACGAATATAAACATGTACAAGGTATTGTTGTTCATATCTATAATCCCAAGACCCAAGAGGCAAGGGCAAGAGAATCGTTGTGAGTTCAGGACCCCCTCGGACTCCATAAAGGGGTCTGGGTCAGTCAGAGCTGTATGGTGAGATCCTTTCAAAAAGAACAGCAATTGTGGAAAATTATTATGGGATGGTGTGAATAAAGTAAAACACTCAAGAGCTTTGAAGGAATGGACACCACTCCCAGCATAGTATAGCAGAGTAACTGCCAATAGCTTTAGTCTTTAAGAGTTTTAAAAAAGGAAAAAGAATGACCCATTGCTAACTGGAGGACTGATGGATTGGTGTCAGGGTTCAGTGCTTTTAGGGGTGGAGGGAGAGGGGCAGAAGCAGCATCCTCACAGTATCTCCCAGGATGAATGGTTCAGAGAGGCCGTCACCCCGTGAAAGGACTGCAGGGGGAGCTGTAGGCCCTCGGGAGAGCTGGGTCACTCTGAAGGCAAGAATGGATCCAAACATTCATGTGTGGGGGGTGATAGGCAGGAAAAATGCAGACTCTGTTCATGGTGGACCATTCATCCCAGAGGACAGAGTGGAGGTGTCTGCAGTTGAGAGGAGCAAGGAACAGTGCTGGGTTAGGCTTGCAGAGCTCCACAGGATGGTGTCAGTAACACAGAGTCTCCTGTGGTTCTGGAGTAGAAACAGCACTGTTTAAGGTTCTGACAGAAGTGGGGCTCTGAACCTTGCTCCTCGGCCACAGAGGAAACCTGCAGAGGAGCAATGTTGACTAAGCTAGAGGCCTCCACAGCCTGCTCAACTGACTGCACTCTCCAAACCTGAATATAGATCCCTGTGAGGTCTTAGGGCTGTGCTTCCCTTTGCCCCAGGAGTCCTCAGTGGAAATGTGTATCTGAGACCCTTAGTAGACAATGAAAGCCCAAACAAGGGACAGATTTCAAAATCTCCTTAATCTGCCAGTTCCAGGACACCTAGCTTCCCTCCTGCGAGGCAAACACGGATAAGGAATCCTTCCAGAAATACATGTACATGCACGCACGCACACACACACACACACACACACACACACACACACACACTGCATACATATTCTAAGTCAGGACACGTCTTGTTTCCTTTCAGTGTGTTGATTTTAAAGAGAATTTCAGGGACTATTGGAATGACTCATTGGTTAAAGCACCCACCTCTTCTGATGACCTGGGTTGGATCCTTCTACGCTTTGACAAAGGACATGTAATTAAGAGGTCTATTCCATTCTGGTTTCAATGCAGCATTGTCTTAGGAAAGAGGCTGGAAAACTGCCAATATTTAAGGGCTACTTCCATTTTTCTATGAGCTGGTATTTCATGTCAATTTTTCCAAGTGTCTTCTGTGTGTTTTCTTGGTTGTGTTAGTTAGAATAGTGGCTTGGCATGAGGGAAAAATTATTATTGCTTGTTGTATGAGTTAGAAAGACATATTTCACAGTGTCCTTTTTTCTTGGGTTTTTATTCCTGGCATTTTCTTCATGCTGAAATTTCTCGGTTGTATAAAATTACCACTGAGTTTTTCTAGCATTTATTCTATGGCCTCTGAATCTTATGTTATATTCAGAAAGCTTTTGAGACTTTAAAACCCTCCATTTTTAATGCTTTTGTGATCTTACTTTCATATTTTTAAAAATCTTATCTAATTGAAATGTGCAGGCAAATGGATGGCACTAGAAGAAACCATCCTGAGTGAGGTAACCCAGTCACAAAAAGACAAACATGGTATGTACTTTTTCATATATGGATTTTAGACAGGGGAGTGCCAGTCTACAATCCCATGATCAGAGAGTCTGGGAAACAAAACCTTCATCCAATGACTGATGGAAGCAGAGGCAG